ATTTATTATTGAAAACCTACATTAATCTACCAATCAGTCATAAACTTCAATTTTAACAGTAAAAAAGTATAGTTTTCAGTGAGCATCTATACTTATGTGAAATGCAACCAATTCAAGCTATTACACATGTGTGGATATTCATACCCATTAGAACTAGTCAGGAGGTGCAACAATAGTTTCTTCATGTTAAGAGCCTGATAAAGCCAACAAGGTATATACCACCAACCCAGTCTAATGAGTACTGCTCCATGAGGACTGATGTATGACCAATGACAAATGACAGGCATGATCATGTTGGACAGCACCTCTTACCTGTTGGAGAAGGCAGTAGGATATAGCAGTTTCTTCCCCAAAAAGTGATCCACACCATTAAAGCTGACCATGCCAACCATCTGTTGACCATGGTCCCAATCCACTGACTGGCACTGCAATCACAGCCCCAGCTGCTATAAATAGGCACCCAGCCATGAGAACTACACATGCAGCATCCTTCGGCATGCACATTACTGTTCCACCAGGGAATCATTGCCCAGAGGCCAGCTTTTGTGCAGACTGAAGATCAAGCATCCTGCTCAAACATACAAGTGCTATGCATGTGACCATCGAGCTTATGCTGTTTTAAATGAAGAGGAACACATTTTAACCAGAAAAGAATTTACACCATTTAAAGTCAGGTCAGCTAGCACAATGGGAAAAGAAGGTACTTGCGCAAACAACTCTCTCCCGCAAAACAAAATAACCAACCCCCCATACATTTTGACAATATCATTATGAGAAAAAGCAAAGGAATACACATTTAGCTAACAGTATCACTATGAGAAGGCACTTGGAATCAAAGTATTTGAACACGTTTTTCCATAGAAGACTTTTGAGTACAGAATGTGACCAAGTCTTCTGAAGCTACATTCATTCATTACAAGGCTCAGACTGTAATGTGGGTGGGGGAAAAGTGCCCTACCATTGCAATGTGAAACCTTCTGCAACCATTAAAAACTGCTGGGTTGGAGCACAACTGAAGTCATTACTAGACAATACTCCCATAACTAAAAATCCTGAAGTGTTTACTAGTGAACATTTCACAAGTATGTTTCCTTGTCCAGTCATAATTTCCCCATCTATTTTAGTGAAGGCAACAGGAGTATATTAGTTTATTGGTTATTTTTAATCTTGCCAATATTCATAATCCTTGGAAAAAGTGAAAGCAATCTCCATAATTTTATTGTCTGCTTCAAAAAGCACATTTAATGATTCCCAAAATTATGGGACTGTTGTTTTGAAGGATTTAAAAACTTGTGTTTTGTACAGATGATTTAAGAATGTCAGCATCTTTCTTTGCTATTCTGTATAATATATTTGTTAATTTCCAAGAATAACATTGGTGAGACGCATGGGTATAACATTTTTCAAAAATGAACATGCAATGCCCCGTATATACTAGAGAAAATGGCACATATCTCATTAGCCATGAAATTTTAACATATAGTGTATACATTTAATTTCAGTGATGACTATTTCACAAAGGGATGAAAGGGAAGAGGCACTTGTCCAACTCTCCACATTTCCTTCTTTCTCCTTGCAGTACCAGGATCTTGAAAGCTACTATCATTGGAGGTAAATAACTATGGAGGAAGGGAAAAGGCTCCTCTCTATTCACAGCCCTGGTCAAAATACTAAGCTATGGACTAAATGTCCATCACCAAACCCATAACTTTCTGCCACAGAAGTAGACGAGCCAATTCATATATATGGCAGAAAGTAAATACCCTCTTGCCATGTTCACGTATTTATTTTCAGCGATATTAGTGGGAGTAACTGAGTTTGGGGAGTAAAGTAAACTAGCACACTTCCATTGAGGGTAGTGTAAAGTAGGTTGTGCAGGGAAACAAAATAGCACATTAGTTTTTTCCGAAAGAAATAAAACTTTCCAGCCAGGTATTGGGGATATCAAGAGGCAGGGTAGACAAAAACTCAAAAAAAGACTTTCCTTCTCTTTTCTTTTTTGCCACTAGAGAAGTTAAAAAAAAATAACAACTGAAAATTTTGGGAAACTACATACGTAATCTATTCTTTCACAATTATGAGCAAAGCAATTTGTAAGTATGGTTACAGCTAGTATGAAGATTCATAGGTAGTCATGATGGTTGTGCTGGTATTAAACCACTTTATCTAATAGCCAAAGACTGACCCTCCATAGCTTCTGCAAAACCAAGGGACCCCTTAGGTTTGCAGAAAAATCTTATTTAAAATTTGGGGTGAGACCCCAAAAAATAGTTCACGTGCTGATGATTCGCAAACTAAGCTGCTGGAATTTGGTCAGTATTTTGGATTGCTATGGCAGCCCCAGATGGTGCCTGGAAGGGGATGTGGCAGCCAATAAAAGAAAGAGAAGAGCAAGAAGAGCAAAAAGAGCAAGAAGAGGAAGAAGAGGAAGAGGAAGAGGAAGAGGAAGAAGAAGAAGAAGAAGAAGAAGAAGAAGAAGAAGAAGAAGAAGAAGAAGAAGAAGAAGAAGAAGAAGAGGAGGAGGAGGAGGAGGGGGGGGAGGAGGAGGAAAAGGAGGAGATTGGATTTATACCCCGCCCTTCACTACCCAAATGTGTCTCAGAGCAGCTTACAATCTCCTTTCCATTCCCCTCCCCACAACAGACACCCTGTGAGGTAGGTGGGGCTGAGAGAGCTCTGACAGAAATTGCTCTTTTTCAAGAACAGCTCTTATCAGAACTATGGCTTGCCCAAGGTCATCCAGCCAGGTGTGAGTGGAGGAGTGGGGAATTGAGCCCACTTCTCCCAGATTAGAGTCCGCGCACTTAACCACTACACCAAACTGGCTCTCAATCAGTACAGAGAGGAGGCAGTAATGAGGGGAGAAGCCAGTTTTTCATGAAGACCTGTGGACCCCTGCTCCTATTTTATCTAGTTTCTATAACTATCAGCACTCTTTTGACTTGGGCTGTGATCACACTGGCAGCTTGGTGACCCGAGCCGAGCCGACAGTAACAGCATCAACAACTAACTGGGATATATCAGCCACACAGTACACCCTGCTGTGGGTTACCCACTCCGTGGTAAAGCCTCCACATTATTGTGGCGCCTCAGCCACGGAGCAAACTGCATAAAAAATCCAACCACCATGTGTGTGCATAGTGCGCATGCACGCGCATGCGCACACAGGCAAGTCTTTTTCAAAAAACACCTGCATTGCAGCAGAATGGATCTGCAGGTTCACACTGCCAAATGCGTTCTGCGCGTGCTCCCCCGTGTTCAGACATCCGGCCATGCGCAATGTATGCAGGGGGAAACAAAAACACCACTTTGGAGGTGGTGGCTTTTTAACCCGGCTCCAAGTCATCCTCTGACAGGGTGAGTACGCCCGGGGAACGCCTGACAGATGTGGCTGTGTGATCCTGCCCGTTTAATCCATCTGTAAATTGTGCCTATATCGGGCCAAACTGCCAGTCTGGACACAACCTTGGTGTGGTTGAGTACTTTTAAATGCAGCAGAATACAGAAACTCTTCAGATATTTGATGCTGGAGTGCAGCCTGGGAAACTACCAAGCAAGCTGCTCCTGAAATAGGACAAGGTCCTTGAGTTACAGTATCCAACTCCTATAGCTTCTTTCTTGCCCCACATTCTTCTGTATCAAGTGAAAAAAACTGATGAATGCTTGGGGGAAAATACATATATACGATCAAGGAACAAACTTACATGTGAAACACTTGAAACTACTTTTAATTTCTCCAAACTTCCCATTTATTGAAGCCCTTGAAGTTTTCAAGTGAAAATTCCTGAATGAGACCCATATCGTGTTAAGACACCAATTGAACACATATATTTTAAAGAGTATACTATTTTCTGAAATGGACTGGAATATAGATTTTTAAAAACTGGGTTCAGGCTAGCTAATTTTCTCTATGGTCACTGTGACACTTCTATGTATGTTTATCTAGATACATGTCCAATTGATGTCAATATGGGCTCTCTACCAATTAAGTGGGCCTAGGATAGGACTGCAGCCCTGCTGTATATAGTGATAATATAAGTAATATTCAAATGTATTGGCTCTTAAATTCATTATAGGAATGTATATTTTTCCGAGTACCTTGTGTAAAAATTGAGTTTTCCCCCTGCTGAGATGGCATATGCCATTTAAGACCAGATAATTAATCTTCCTTTTTATTTTCTATAGTGTTGAGTCCCAAAATGTTGACTTTGACTTTATCTTTCAGTCTCTGTTTTACCACTTTGCAAGAACTCAGATATAGTTCAGTGCCTTAGGATGCAGCAGCTTGCAGCTCCATTTCTAAAAAAAGGATTTATTTGCAATACTTCAAAAACTAAGGCATTTATCTTCTTAAATTTCATCACTATATTGAACCATAGTAATTTACGTGCTAAGTTATACGTGATACACTTCATGTTCTTAGCATAGTACGGTAGGTTTGACAAGAAAATCAGCATTGCATATATTTGAACTGTTCTGAAAATTTCAGTTTCTTCAAGAGATAAATGCCCCTCTCCAAAGTTTGCACACTTTTTGTACACTCATACCAGGAATTTCAAGGACAGTATTTCAAGGACAGTACTTTTGCTCTAAGGAAAAGAACAAAATATAGTAATATAAACTAACTGCAGACATCCATGGCCAACTGCTGATTGTACTCAGGAAGAGAAGGGAATATCTAAGGGGCCTAAATGAAACTGTATCAGCATCCATGATGATGGTTTCCAGTCTTTGATTCCAGACTCTGGTGGCTTGGAAGAAGTGCTTTTTGGGTTTTTATGCATTAAGATTCCCTTAACAAGGCATATGTTTCTGAATACGGAACCAAAAATTTCATGGTACCACTAAAAAGTAGAAAATTGGTCACAATTTCTGAAGCTATTTGCCCATTCCCAAATACTCTGAAATTTATGAAGCTTTATTTTTCTTGTTACGGCAGTCAGTTAACAGGAGTACTTTATCCAAATGAGTTTGCCATCTTTCAAGTCTTGGTTGCAATGGTCTGGGTTATTGGCATCATAGTGTAAAGCTGCTGAAAGTCCCAACAGACAGCGAGAAGGTGGTCATTTCAGAATGATATGGTAGCCATCATTACTTTCAGCTGTAGAAGAAGGTGGAAAAAAACACTTTGTCAGTGTTCTACGGGATTCTTTTCCTTTTAATGAACTAACATTCTATCATTCTGTACTGTCATCAGATGTAGACTGCACAATAAAGATTATATAAAATTGTTCCCTATTTATTGAATGAGCACCTTGCACGGCTTGCTGGAAGATACAATCAGTTTTAGAGAAAATATGGAACATAATATAATGGTAAATTTTAAAAAAAGAAGGTGAAAGACTAGATTTTCAACTAATAGAAACTGTTAAATATACATTCATACTGTCAGAGGCAAAGATCTTTCCACCATCTGTAAAAGAACTGAATACACTGGAATGAAATTTACTTGAAGAACTTAACACATTCAGATAAAATCTTAAGTGTGGGATAATCAATTGAATGGCAGCCTGAGAATGTTTTCTTTAAGGGGAAGAATAAGGTGCCTGCCACTGCCATCTTTTGCCCACCCGCCCCCTCGAATGAAACACAAGTTATGGGTTAAATTGGGGATTTTATTTACACATAAGCTGATCTGCACCATTTCATACCATTTAAGCATAGGTTGCATTGTGCCTGCAAACAACGCTTCTTAACTGGGCAAACCCACCCCGCCTGAGAGCCAGGTCTGGAATCTTTCCAGCCCCTACTTGTCATGGCCCGCACTCTAAGTACATAGAGGTGATCGAGGAGCACAATCCCACCCATGACTGCTAAGCCTTAAGGCACGTCATATGCTCCCCCAACCCTGAGGAGGCCCCACCTGAGTATCCCGGGCTGCCAAGCCACTGGGTACCCAGTTTGAGGAAACAACCCCCCCCCCATTGCTGGTATCTCGGAGTGCTTGCCAGCTTGAATAACCCCATTCAACCTGTGCTTTCCCACTTTCCCAGAAAGGGCCTAACCAGGTTACCAGGCCTATTTATGCCGCATCCCCCAGACCATGGGGAGCAGGTGAAAAAAGGTGCCACCTCAGAGCAAATTGGAGTGAGATACAAAAATTCCTCTCAGCCCCACAACCAGTGACTGGCTAATCCCACATGGTCTTAAACAGAAGGGAGGGCGAGTGGGGCGCTCGTTCTTGGCTGGAATGGTCAGGGGAAGGCTGCTGCTGGCAGACCTGGCCGGCCACCCAGCCCTGATAGGTCAACGCTCCTACGCTGGACCCTAATAGGCTCCCCCCACCCACCCTCGTGATTCCACCTGAGGATGGGGGGAGGGCAAAAGCCGGTGCCTGCTCATGGGCCAGCACCAGTCATCTCTTCCCATAAAACTGCTCTAAATAAACTTTGTGGGCAGGCTGGCTTTGTGCCATTGCATTTTTTTTCATGGGGCCTTTTGCATGTCCCCTTCCACTCATGCAGACTAATGCCTTAATCTAGCTAGAAACCATATGTGTGCAAAAGCAGGTTTTTTGCGCGCGCACACATCTCAGTGAAAAAACATTTGCACAAAGGAGTGTTGTGCACACTGTTTCTCTTCCCAGTTTAGTTGCTGAGCTTGCAAGCCTATTGAGCTTCCTTCAAAAAAGCAGTAAGGATACATCTCAGGTCTTCAGATGGAAAACAAAATTTAGTCCCTTCCTCTCCTTTTCCTTTTGCAAAACATCTGGTTGTGCATGATCATTGCTTTTTGAAAAGGGTGCCATGGCACCATTGGCACCATCTGGCTACTGTGAGTGCACACGACTGGAATGAGGCTCTGATGTTGGACCCAGAACATCAACGAGAAGCCCACTTATCCACTTTTAGAAGTTTCTGCCATTCCATTTGAAACCCATAAAGCTCATCATGTCAGTCAATATTCTACTTCTAACCTATTGGACTACCCAGTATTCTACTCTGATGCACCCTGTTTGTGTAGTAGTAATTTTATGCCTGCCAGTTTTCAGTCACTTCACTGTAACCCTTATTCCAGGTGAAAGTAGTTCTAAAACTGATATATATACGTGTGTGCGTGTGTGTATATACCTTTTAACGTTGAGATGACAAAACATGATTCATCTTGGAAGTTTTGTACCATCTGGATGAAAAACAAAGATAAGATATTTTTAAAACTAGGCATTTTCCTCAAGATACCAATCCTGGACATGTCCTACTTAAGCTTCACAGAACAAGATAGTCATATTGGTACAGAGAGATCAGTTATAGAGAGACCTATCCAAAAGAAGGGCCCCCATTCTAGCTTGAGATAAGGATTCATTATTTCACAACCACAAGATGATTCCCAGAGTAATTCTTGCAGAAATGTCCATGTATCTTCCGTATTCTGTGTGGTAATGCTGTATCCCCAGAAACCGTAAGGTCAATGGAATCATCTACAAAGAACCCGTTTTGGGAAGCAGGCAAAATTTTACACATGAGCATTTATATTTACAAACATTCTTCCTTGACCCAGCAAGAGATAAAATTCTTATCTTGGGTCCAGGAATACAGAGAGATAAACATTCCAAACAATGGTCTCATTTCTAACACTGTTCAAAAAGGACATCTGTGGTGGAGGCGGTTTTTACACATGAGCATTTATATTTACAAACATTCTTCCTTGACCCAGCAAGAGATAAAATTCTTATCTTGGGTCCAGGAATACAGAGAGATAAACATTCCAAACAATGGTCTCATTTCTAACACTGTTCAAAAAGGACATCTGTGGTGGAGGCGGTATATGTCCAAGTTTGTTGGACATAAAAGAGAAAGCTGTGAATTCCACTGAAGAAATAGGGTGAAAATGATTACATGTCAGTGAAGCTAGTATTTCACCATCCTTCCTTGCTGCACCACATTTGGTCAACCATAACTTGTGCTAGATGATTCACAGAAAATAATTCCTTCCATTCACTTTTTTTTTCCAGCCAAGCTTCCTTCCACATATCAGTGGAATATCACATATCTCCTATTGGTTACATTAGGATCCTAGCCCAGGGCGAAGCTTAACATGGCATCTCAATGGCACAGTTCACAAGGCAGTTATATACATCTCAATACATAACAAATCCCTCCCCCCTAAGCAAAAACACTATGTACAATCATAATCGCTTAGGTACATTGGCGCTCTGCGCGATCTCTGAGACCTGCGTAGTTGTACAGGTTCAGGGCACCTTCCATTCTGGGGAGTATTGTACGACTCTGGGACCTCAGAGTCAGGAGCACTTCCATCACTAGCAATGGGTCTTTGAGTAGGGGTCTGCCCTGGCTCGCGGACAGTACTGGGGCCCTCGGGCACATCAGAACTCACCTCCGGAAGAGGTTGTGGAAGGTCCTCGGAATCAGGTAGCTCGGCAGGATACGAGGTGGGGCGGCCAGTTGCCCACCGCTGCCTTAGCTGGTCCACATGTCGCCTCCATTTGCGCCCGTCCGCAAGCTGGACTACATACATGCGGGAACCCACTACTTCCGTCACTGTGGCTGGAAGCCACGAATGTCCCCCTGCATAGTTCTTAGCGAACACCGTATCTCCGCACTCGAATGTGCGGACCTTAGTGGGGACTCCTTGCTGTTGGAGCCTCAAGTCGTTGAGGTCTGGATGCAGCCTATCCAGCAACGACGCTAGGCGTCGCCCCATCAATAGTTCGGCCGGGCTGCGGCCTGTGGCAGAGCACGGCGTTACGTGTTGCCGAAGGAGGAATGACGCTAGTTTCACTCCCCAATCCCCGGATGTTAGCTCGGCGAGCGCCTCTTTGGTCGTGCGGACCATTCGCTCTGCCTGCCCGTTCGATGCTGGGTGGATCGGGGCAGACGTAATTTGCCTGATGCCATTATTAGCTAGGAATTGGGCAAACTCCTGGGACACAAATTGAGCGCCGTTATCGCTCACCAGGACATCAGGCAACCCATGCGTGGCAATTAAGCGGCGCAACACATTAATAACAGCAGTGGAAGTGGTGGTAGACATCGGCGCCACTTCCAACCATTTCGAATATGCATCCACAACAATCAAAAACATTTGACCATGTACTGGGCCCGCCAAATCAATGTGCAGCCTCGACCAAGGCTTTCCCGCCGATTCCCATTTCTGTGGGGAGGCGGTTGGCGGTTCGGGTCTTGCCTGCTGGCAAGGCGTGCACCCCCGTACCCACTCTTCAATGTTATATACATCTCAATACATAACAGCGGTATATCTCCAAGTTTGTTGGACATAAAGGAGAAAGCTGTCAATTCCACTGAAGAAATAGGGTGAAAATGTATATGTCCAAGTTTGTTGGACATAAAAGAGAAAGCTGTGAATTCCACTGAAGAAATAGGGTGAAAATGATTACATGTCAGTGAAGCTAGTATTTCACCATCCTTCCTTGCTGCCCCACATTTGGTCAACCTTAACTTGTGCTAGATGATTCACAGAAAATAATTCCTTCCATTCACTTTTTTTTTCCAGCCAAGCTTCCTTCCACATATCAGTGGAATATCACATATCTGGTAAAACTGAGGGCAAATGGTGCCCCCCCCCCAACATCATATGTCTAACGATGCATGAAGAACATCCATTTGGTGCCTTTTGTTTGCTTCACTTTTGCTGCCCTGCCACTTCAACACAAAAACAAAGCAATCGTTGTTGTTAATAAGTAACCTAAGTATTTAATGAAGCACACCCTACCCTGCGCCAAAGCTGGGCAAGGCAATTCTCTTTTCAGAGACTGCTTTAAAGCACTTCATGACTATTCAAAATGTTAAAAGGTTCGGAACCACCCAAGTGAGACGGCAAGGAGGCTTTCAGAATAAAAATCACAGGCCTCGTCTGTAACTGGCTGGGAGTCCTTCTCTCTGCTTTGCCAGCTTTAACTATGTTCCTCAGAGGTCATATGTAATGAGGCTTCTTAAGTGATTCCAGTGCATGCAACCACAGGACAATTAGAAAAGACTGCTTGCTTTTCGTGGCAAATATCCTCATATAGGAAAATAAATCAGACATTTATGGAAATGGATAGAAGGAAGGAAGATTATTGTACCCATTTATCTAGTACCAAATGTTGTCTCTAATAAACTACATGGACTATGGACTACCAGATGTACCCCCAAAATACAGTTTGCCCAGTTATTTCAGGATTTATATATACAAGTTCAGTCTCATAAAAGGTGGTTTCTTGGCCACAATCCAGTGGACAAGTAAGCATGTTAAACACCTTGGCTTCAATGTAGTTTAAAGATTCTTGACTCCATGTTAGATTATAGCATGTGGTAGCTGTGGTCCAAAAGCACGTTAGATATTACATGGCTTTTGTGTTTGGCTTTTGCACTGGACCGAGATGACTGCTTGCAAGCAGCCAGAATATTGTTACCAAGGATAGCTTCTGTGCCATACATACTGCCATGACATACTTTGGTCCCATTATACATAATCCATCCCAGATTTTATGGAGGGGGGTGGGCATGGTTTCAGTACAAAAAAAGTATGAAGATGTAGAGGCAGGGGTCATTTCCTGCAGGAGCGCACAGGAGCAGAGCTCCGACAGTAAAGAGCCCAGGAGGAGGGCACATGCAACAAGCCCCACCCCCTGCTCCCAGCAGCCCTCAGTCAGAGCAAGAAGCAGCCAGGTAAGTTGCAGAGTCCCCCCCAGCCCCCCAGTCCAAAACAGTCCAGTAGCACCTTTAAGACCAAGTTTTATTCAGGTACAAGCTCTCCCTCCTCTGCGAGGGCAGATCTGCGCGTTCCCCCCACCCCCCAATAGCTAGCAATCCAAAAAAGTCCAGTGGAGCCTGAGTGGTGGGTGTTGCCTTCTGGCACACTTCCGGTGATGTCAGGGGGTGTGGCATATGCAAAGAAGTTATGCTAATGAGTTATGCTAATGAGCTCCTGCACCTCTTTTTCTACGAAATGACCCCTATGTATAGATACACACTTATAGTTAAGAAATTAGGGTTAGGGAAGCACTTTCAAGAGGGGAAAGGGGGAGCTCCTATTCATATACTGCTACTCAAGGTGCCAATGTATCCTTCCCCCTCTACCCTATGACAAAATTAACATAAGATTCAGCAAAGCTGCAACTTTTGTAACTGATGTAGAAAACTTAAATGAATGCGAATTTGCATGGTTTGTGAAATTTATTTCTGCAACTAATTTCAAGCTCTAATAATGCAGTAATGGTTATAACTGAGAATATACTAAACTTCTAGGGGAATCTAAACTGACATTTCAGTGGATACTATGACACTTTACTATGACGCATTAGGATTCCTGGTTACAGCTACTCCCAATACTTTAATTTCCTTTCCATATTTGGAATGTTTATGCAAGAAACTAAAAATTGTAAGGCAAAATTCTGAAGGGAAGATGGGGAGGGGGGGGGGATTAACAACAACAACAAAAAGGCCTAAAGACAGAGGTGGCAGGAACTGTTCGTGGTGCTGAAACCTCACCTTTTGACCATTCAGAATTACGCTCAGCTAAATCCTCTTTACTTAAACACAGCGTGAGCTGTAAGAGAAGCAAAGTACGAGCTAGGGAGACCAATATATTTTCCTTGATAGACTGTAAATCATTAGGATGGCACGGAAGTTTGAGCGCCATCTCAGACGTCATGTTAACTGATACCTGTTACTGGAAACTGGATTATTATTGTTAGCACCCTTTAATATTGTGATTCAGGGCTCTTTTTGTAGCAGGAACTCCTTTGCATGTTAGGCGACACCACCCCCTAATGTAGCCAATCCTCCAAGAGCTTACAGAGCTCTTCTTACAGGGGCTACTGTAAGCTCTTGGAGGATTGGCTACATGAGGGGTGTGTCTCCTAATATGCAAAGTCACTTGTTATGGTTTTAGGATTGTTATTTTATCTATTGTTGTTTTTATGCTGTTGTAAGCTGCCCTGAGCCGACCATGGCTGGGAGGTTGGGGTATAAATATAATAAAGAAATAAATAAATGGGGGAAAGTCATAGGGTAAGTATTGTATGGGACTCTCACCCCAGAGATGACATCCTGCAGTAGCTGATAAACTAGGCTGTGTGCAAGGAAGGAGTCCAGACTCATTTTAGGATTATCTAAGAATATGTAGTGAGTTTACGACCCCTTCTTTCAGCCACCCCCCAG